CTGAATGAAGTAGTGTGCTGCTTTCCTCCGAAGACGCCTAGCTGCCCATCTATTTTGCGGGACCATTCTTTCGGATAGGTAGGACTTAATTTCATCTTGCCAAGGTTGCTTTTGTTGTTCGGTGTCTACTTCCATTAGGTCATCTGCGTCATCTTCTTGGTAAAGAATCATGTTGCAAGCTCCCTTGGATAGTTGGATGCTAGGTTGCTCAATGATTTCTACTGGAATCGTTCAGAAAAGTGCAGGGTCCATTGTTGATGCCAATGCTGCCAGCGCGTCGGCGGTGGTGTTTTCAGTTTGCAAGATTTTAGTTGGTTCGAAAGAGTCAAATTGCCTTGTTATTTCCTGGACCTGCTTCAGGTAAGTGTCCATTCGCTCATTCTTCGCGTTGTAGTCTCCTTTGAACTGGCTGGCGACGAGCTGGGAATCATAAAAGGCATAAATATTTTTCGCTCCTACTTCTTTGGCGAGCCGAATCCCTGCGTGCAAAGCTTCGTATTCGGCTTTGTTGTTCGAGGCAGGGAAGCCCAGCTTGAATGATTGTTCAAGGACTTCCCCTGTTGGTGATTTCAAACAAATGCCGACTCCTAATCCTTGCTTTGAGGATGCACCGTCGACGTACAAATTCCAGCAGTTTTCGGTAGGTGACTCACCATTTAGTAGATCTGGTGGTATTTCGATCATAAAGTCTGCTAGGACTTGAGACTTGGTGCTAGTTCGAGTGCGGTACTCGATATCATATTCAGACAGTTCTATTGCCCATTTAGCCATTTGGCCGGATTGACTCGGGCTGTGCAGAATGCTCCGAAGTGGTTAACTGGTGAAGACGACAATAGTGTGGGACTGGAAGTAGGGTCGCAGTTTCCGTGCCGAGATGATTACTGCATAGGCGAGTTCCCTGACAAGGACGCCGCTTACTGCCGCTATCGAGACTGCAATGTAAAGGTACCGAGTCTCACCAATCTCCGGTTTAGCTAATATCAGCGGGGTGGTCAGGTACTCCTTTAACTGTGCGAACGCCTCTTTGCACTTGTCGTCCCAGTCAAAGCGTTTATTACTCTGAAGCAATTAAAAGGGGAGACACTTATCAATTGAACGCGAGATAAATTTGTTTAGCGCGGCAATTCTCCCGGTGAGTCATTGTATTTCGCGAGTATTTTTGGGTGATAGGAGATCCAGTATTGCCGAAAACTTTTTTGGGTTTGCTTCTATTCCTCTTTGGGTGACAACGTAACCTAGAAATTCTCCTCAGGTCACCCTGCAGGTGCATTTGGCTGAATTTAATTTCATTATGTATTTCTTGAGGGTTTTGAAGCAATTCCTGAGATGGCCGACGTGATCTTTGGCGATTGCTGATTTGACTAGCATATCGTCAATGTAAACTTTCATGGTGCGGCCGAGCTGACTTGCAAACATTTTGTTGACCAACTGCTAGTATGTGGCTCCTGCATTTTTTAGTCCGAAAGGTATGACTTTGTAACAATATGTTCCGCGGTCGGTGATGAACGCCGTCTTCTCTTTATCGTCGGGGTGCATAAAGATCTGATTGTACGCCGAGAAAGCGTCCATAAAGGACAGGAGCTGATTTTCGGCTGTTGACTCGACCAGTTGGTCGATGTAAGGAAATGGAAAGCAATCCTTTGCGCAAGCTTTATTGAGATCGGTGAAATCAACGCATACTCTCCACTTGCCGTTCTTTTTTTTAACTATGACGTTAGCTAGCTAATCGAGATGCTGAACCTCGGTAATCGATCCAGCTCCGAGTAGTTTTTCCACTTTATCGATTACTGCTTGTGCTTTCTTGTGGCTGAGCTTCCTTCATTTTTTGTTTAATCGGCTTGAATGTAGGACGTTTAGTTTATGTGATGTGATTCTGGTATTGATTCCCTTCATGTCCTCCATAAACCAAGCAAATAAGTGCATGTGGTCCCGTAAAATTTTGAAGAGCTCCGTTTTTATATCTTTTGCGAGGTCACCGCCAATGTTAACGATTCTTTCCGGGTGTTGTTCGTTAATGCTTACCTGTATAACCCGCTCGGGCTTTGGTCTTTTGTGGAAGGAAAGACGTGGATCTAAGTCCTCGTTTATCATGCATGTAGCCGCCGTTCTGACTTTCCTTTCGCTGAGGAGGCACATTCGTGCTGTTCATTGGTTGCCATGTAGTGTGAACGTATCGGTAGGTGTCGGAATCTGATGCATTGATGGTATGTTGAGATGACAGCCTTCATGGTGTAAATCCACAGAGTCTCAAGTATGACGTTGTAAATAGTCGGACAGTCGATAACTGCAAATTTTGCCTTTTTGGTTACGCCGCCGATGTAAGTGAGTAGATGTATCAAGCCGATATTGTAGGAGGTGTCGCCTACAAATCCTGCTAGCGGTTTTGCCGTTATTGTTATCTCGCTTTCATTGATGTTCATCCTTGCTAGTGTATTCTTGAAGATAATATTGACAGTGCTCCCGCTGTCCACCAATGCTTTGGCGACCGTGCTTTCGTGAATTTGTAAAGTTATGACCAGTGGATCGACGTGTGGCATGTGCGAACTGCGTAGATCCTCTGCTCTGAAATCTACTGGTGCTTTGTTCTTCGGGGTAATTGGATCGCGGTTAGCTTCTTCCACTTTTTCTTCATGTCGCCTTATTTCCTTGAGCGAATAGGGGTCGTCGAATATTCCTCCTAAGATCATGTAGGAATCGTCGAACGTTGCGTGTTCTCCCGTGGGTGGTAGGATCGCAGTGGTAGGGTTTCCGTGCTTGTCTAGAGCAGACGTCTCTGTATGCGTGGTGGTGTCATCGTTGTTGAGGGTGAGATCGCTGTTACTGAATCAGAAGGCTCATCGCTTTGGACCTTCTAGTCGCTAGTTATAAGAATTTTATTCTCACAGTTCTCATAGATGGTGCTAACTGTTAAACCAGAAAATCACCACTAAGGATTTGATTAACAGTTGTAGATTTCAGAAAATAAGATCTTTTATTAATAGCAATAAAGCGAAGCGATTACAAAGATTCGTATAACCGAGAGGTTATGCCGAAGTGAAAGAAAGTATTTGCGAAGTAAACTAAAAAGCGTTGGAGTCTCTGGTTTTAGCTCTGGTGCTCTCTAGATGGTATGAGTTGGTCTCTTCAGCTTCGGGATCTTCTTATTTATAGGGTTAGGAGGTCGGTTGCTTTGAACTTATTTTTCTTTTTCCTTTCAGTGAATATTTTCATATTTGTAATATGGAAATATCCCTTATTATCCGAAGAATATGGAAATTTTTCTTTATCTTTCGAATCAATCCGATGCTTCCGGACTTTAAAGATTATTTTTTATCCGAGCTAGGACGACGCAGTTCTTCTAGTCTTGATGAGCTTATGTTATTGCTAGAGAAGAAAATGTGTTAATTTCCCCTCTAACAATAAATAAACAATATACACAAATCAATCACGGTTATGGAAGAGACAATTACGTTATTGAAGGATATTGCATTTAAACCAGGGTGTGTGTTTGTATCATTTATTGAGAACTTTGTTGTGCATCATCATACTCATCACCAATTTTATTCTAAAAACAATTTGTATATTAATTTGGTGTCACAAACCAAAATAAGAAAGACAACAGAAACAAACCTGCAGGAGTTATGCTTAATTAAGAAAGATTAAACATCTTTATACCTATAAAACATAAGTCATTTGGAAGTTATCGATCTAACACGCATCCTTTTTATGTTTAAAAAATAATCCATTTTTTTCTTTTTTCTGTCAAATTGTAAACCGAAAAAAAAAAAATCCATTTCTTTTTCTTTTCTTTGACATGATCTTTAAATCCATTTCTTTTTCTCTTCTTTGACATGATCTTACTAAAAATAACTGAAATGATTTTTTGATATTATTTTCTTTCTATTTTTCTGTCCAAAAATATGTATTCTACTTTCTACATGTATACTAAAGATTCTAAAAGTCCCTATTTTCTCTATCTAAAACTACCACGATTTATGAATCGATTTCTTAAATCATAAAAAACAATTTTGAGCAATTATCTTCTTTGCTTTCTCTCCTCTCTTGCGTTAGATTTTTCTTCTGTTCATCTATATTAAAAAAATAACAGTTGCAATCGATAGAGGTGTAGACTATTCTCTTTATCTCAATTTTCATTGTCTCCAAATGTTTTCACCTAACATAAATCATATATGTTTCCAAATTGAAGATTCAAAAAAAAAGAGAATAGATGATGAAGAGCTTTAAAACTACTGAAAATATAACTTCTAAAGCCTATGTGAGTTATGAAAGCAAGTTTAATTATAATGTTGTGTTGATCATATTCTCATCGCTTATAATATAATTTTTTGGATACTAAATTCTAGGAATATATATCAAACCAGGTTGTGAAAGTCATTTTGAATAGGAAAATATATTTTGCTTGATAAGTGATTCTTCTTCTCGACTACTTTTGAAATTCAATCATCTTTTGATTTTAATTTATGAGTTTCTTTGTATTTTCCTATATACGTGGCTATGTGGTTAATCAATGATAAATCATGTATATCCATTTCCTTCTAATAAATCAAAGTTATAAACTTATAATGTTAAAAAAACAAAAATCGATGTTATTTTGTATATGTAACTTTTAATTATGTATAAATATAACATAAACTTAGTTTTATTTTAAGTTTAAGCAAAAGTAATCTCGTGCTTAGCACGGGAAATAATACTAGTAACTAATAAACTGATAGTATTAGCCAGTTAGGAGTTGAAATTAAGAAGCTAAATGTACAAGGCAAGCTAAATGTAAACAATTTCTGGACAGTGAAGCCATATAAGAACCATTCTTGGCTCGCCAACAAGCTGCTGAAGGTTAGGGATGATGTTTACCCATAGACAAAACTAAGGGTCAGTAATGGGCGAAATAGTTGCTTTTGGTCAGATAACTGGTCCCCGTTTGCAGGTTAGAAAGATACTTTCAGGGTAACCGGAACTACCGATTGGGTATTTCTGAAAAAGCTCCACTGTCTTCTCTCTTTATGAACGGTCATTGGATTCTCCCACCTGCAAGATCCGAGAATCAGGTCAATCTTCAAGCTTATCTCACTACTACTGTTTTAACAGATGATGAAGACTACTATGAGTGGGAAACTGATGAAAAAGTAAGTTCCAAGTATAGAACAGGGCAAGTTTATGCTAAGTTAAGACCAGAATCAGATGAAGTACCTTGGGGAAAAATAGTCTGGAATGTTGGTGTAATTGATAGTTACGCTGCATTCCTCTGAATTCCTTCCATTTACGTTTTTTTTTTACTTTTAGGTAGAAAAGATGGGACCCACATTTTAGGTGGAATTGGATTTTATTCTGCTGAGATTTAGTCCTCCACAAAAAGGAAGAGGAATAGTGAAGCGTAACATTTTTTTATTTATTTTTTATATTTATTGTATTTAAAAATAATTAAATATATCAGCTACTTTTGTGTGATCCTATAAATATATCAGCTACTTTTGTGTGATCCTGTGTTTCCATGATTTGTTAATGTTTTAATAAAGCTTGTTATGTATATGAAGGATTGTATTTGCGTACTTTTTAAAACTGGTAGTATGTAATTGAATTTTGAGAGATGAAATCATATTGTTCTCTTGACTGGATCAAGTTTTCTTTACAATTATATATTGTTTATGGATTAAGTTGTCATTAATTGATTACATTAATGTTGAAAAATTACGTAGATTCATATTCACTGATGTGATTTTTTTTTTAATAAGAAATACAAGGAACAAAAATGGAAACAATGCTGGATCAAATAATGGGGGACGTTCAAAGCGCAAAGATAAATCTGTTGATGAAGCTAATACAAATCGCGAAGCATCAGTAAGTCTAATAATACCCTCTCATATATATAGTTTATAATTTTAAGACTACATATTTATTACTTTTAATTTTTAGAATTAGTTATATATAAAATGGCTAAATTTATCTTATTTTAAATTCTTATAATTTAAAATTTATTTAACAAATCAAAATAAAATAAAAATTTTAAATAAATAGTATTTATTTAGATTTTACTTTATTTATTAATTCTAAAATTTCAATTTTATACTAATCTATAGAATATTCTACTAAAATATTTTTTTGACAGGAAAAAAAATCCTAAGATTGTTTTATATTATATATTTATCTATAGATTATTCTACTAAAACTATTTTTAAATTTGTATACAGAATTTACAAATATTAAATTTTATCTGAATAAAATTTATCTAATTAAAAGATTTATATAAATCTAAAATTTAGAGAAACTTTTGAGATTTATCTAACTAGATATCTCTAGTATGTTTAATTTTCATTTATAATTTTAATTTATAAAAATATATATGAGTAAAACTTGGTCAAAACGGTTTTTCTATATTAATTAATTTAACTATTAAAAAAATTAAATAGTGTATTTTTTAATTTACAAATGTTAATTAGATTAGTATGCCAATTGCCCCTATATATATATCGATATATACACTTACTTAGTTAGTGTATTTTTAATTAATATAGTTTTTTTTGTATGCAAAATTAAAATAGTGTGTTTGGAGTCCAAAAAATTACAAAATTTTGCTCGAACTTGTGAATGACGAGCTAAAAGCAAAATGATATATGATTAGACTACCTGACAATCCTGGAAAGAGAAGAGTGGAAGAAAAATTTTATGAAACAACCGGCATTAAAGTCAAATGGGAGCCAGAAATAAAAAGCAGAATTGACTATATGCGTAAGCTTCGACAGTATAACACTATATTAACCAGTCGGACTGGTGTTAGGATTAATCCTCTAACTGGAAGGTTAGAGATGTTCGAATCTTGGTGGAGTGATCGAATTGCGGTGAGTGCTAAAAATATTACCATATAATATTAGTATTACACACTGAATTTAATTAACAATATTTTAATATTTTTTAGGAATTTGGAAAAAATGGAAAATTTGTACGAGTGCTACAAAGCAAAACTCTTCCATTTAAAGAACTACTCGATCAAATTTTTGGTGAACATGATCTAGAACAAGATGATCGTTATTCACCACACACACTCCGTACAAATATCCTACAAAGACTTCATCACGAAGAAAGTGATGATGATATAGAGGTGGAGGAAACACCAGAAGAAAATGGGTCCCAATTTCCGATGGAACTAACATCTGATGATGATTTTCCCCGAGCTAGTCAGTCAGCTATCGCTGCTACTAGGGAACAAGTACGGAGTTCTCCATCCCGTATAAATAAATCAACTTTGCGTGCTCGAAAGTCTACTACTAGACGTCCTAATCAAAAAAGAATCAACTTCGAGAGCCAAGTTCAAACTGGATTTGAACGTCTTGAAGAGTCTCGAACAAGCTTATTGGATGTCTTACGGTCGCGGCATAACTCAAAAGCAACTTTTGGTGATGCTGTAGCTGTATTGGAGACGTTGCCGGTTCAACCGATGAGGAAATTTTGGTGGGAAGCAAATAGGCTGTTGATGAATGACGAAGATGTTCGTGATGGATTTATGAAATTACGGAATGAAGAAAATAAAATTCAGTTTTTGGAAAACCTAACTGGAGTTGATAGATATGGCTATCCATGTGATATTATCAATCTGAGGGGTACTAGCAGCTCTGCAACTCCTTCTCTTCCATCTATGCACTCACAAATGGCAGGAATTAATACTAATGCATCCTCAAGTTTCTCTTAAAGATACGAAATGTTTGATATAGGTTCTTCAGGGACTACTTTCTCATATTTGCTTGGAGTTGTGCCCTCACCTAACATAATAGACGAAACTAGAAGTGGCACAAATTAGCTATGTATTATTGTTTTTGCTAGTAGTGGTCAAGGTTCAAAATATCGCTAGGCGGTATCTAGACGCTCAATAGGGGTCTAGGGTCTAGGCGTATTAATCGGGGTCTAGACGGAGATTAATCGTTTTAGATTTATTTAGATTTTTTATTATTTTTAAATATTTATTTTATAAAAGTTACTAAAAATAAAAAAAGTTTTGATCCAATATCAACTAAAAGTTTAAGTGTTTAACACAAATAAATATAAAAATATAAAACTTAAACATAACCAAAAGTTCAATAAGATATAAGATAAAAAAATCAAAAAATTGTAAAATAAAACAAATATGCTAAGCTTCTTCGACTGCAAACCCCTCCACATTCACCACCTGTTCATTATCAGATTCAAATTCAATATCATTGACAATGTCATGCTCTTCATCTGAGTCAGGTTCTTCTCTACCTTCATCACTCGGAACTTGATGAACAGATTCTCCATTAGGTGCTTCAACACTCTCAAGTGGATCCACAAACCATTCTTCTGCATTTCTTTCTTCACCATCTTCAAGAATCACATCAATGTTTTTATCTTTAATCCTTTTCCGTCTGTTGAACAATTTGGCATTGAATTGGACATAAACTAGACTGTTAAGTCGATTAACATCTAGTCTATTCCTTTTTTTTAGTATGGATCTATAAGAAAGAAAGAAGAAAACATCCAAAATCAACAAACAAAATTTTGAAAAGAAATACATAAAACTCTGATAAAATTTGAGACAAGAAAACACTAACCCCTTCAAAAGCACTCCAATTCCTTTCACAACCAGATGAACTAGATGTTAAAGAGAGAATCTTTGTTGCTAACTTTTGCAAAGCAGGTACATGACAACCATGTATTGACCACCAGTTACCTATAATGTAAACTAAAATAAGAAACCATCGTTATTCAAAGCAGTATTACGGTTGATAGGGTTAAAAGAAACCTGGATCAAAGTTGTCATCATTGTGTGAGCATCCTCTCAAAGCTAATCCTCTTCCGAAATTTCCAGATTGTGTCTTGTAAAGAGTAAACTCTTTATTCACTACTTGATCTTGTTTGTCATACTGACCATGGTAAAACGTCTCAACACAACTCATAAACCCATCAATTAATGGCTGATCATGCTCAATGGTTGTGTCCTTGTAGAAGTAGAATAGGTTCAAAATATAGGCGCTCATGTGCAAAGGAGAATCCAACCTACCTTTCATTTTCTCATCAATGATATCGAAAATAGGTTTGTAGTTTCTCTCCAAGTCATTACAAGCCAACTTAATCTTATTCCTTGCTTATAAGAGCTCTCCAAAGATAAAACCCATTGAAAGTTTCTTCTCTCCATCAGCAACCCTAAGAAGTTTCACTAAAGGTCCAAAAACCTTTAACACAAATACCACACCATTCCAAAATAAAGAGCTCATAACAGTTAAGAAACTGCTTTTTCCCTTTACACTTTGTGAATGTTTGCATAAGTCCCATTCTTCACTATTTAACATCGCTTTCAGTTGTACCTTTTTTTCCAGCAAGCTTTGTAGTGTTAAGAAAGTTGTAGCAAATCTTGTAGCTCCTGGTCGCACAATATACCTTTTCTTGGTGTGCAATCTCATCATTGCTAAGGTTTTATGATGAGCATATATGAAAATCATAAGACCTTTAGCTTGGTCAATGATTTTTGCAAACTTCGGCAACTTAGAAATTGCTTCAAGCATCAAATCAATTGTATGAGCAGCACAACTTGTCCAGAAAATACTCGGCCTCTTCTCTTTAAGCATCTTTGATGCTGCCACATTATTGAGAGCATTATCTGTTACTACTTGAACAACTTTCTCAGCACCAACTTCTCCAATGCATCGATCAACATATTGAAAGATGTATAGCCCTGTGTGAGATTCCGTGGAAGCATCTTTTGAGGACAGAAAACATGTTCCTCCTCTGGAATTAACACATAGATTCATTATGCTCCTCCTTTTCCTATCAGTCCATCCATCCGTCATGATTGAGCAACCGTACCGTTCCCATTCCACTTCTTGGCTTTTTAACTGCTGCTTAGTTCTTTCTTCTTCCTCTTTTAATAGTGGTTCCCTTAATTGGTATTGAGTTGGAGGAACCCAGCCAGGTCCAAATTGTCCAAGAGCTTCACAAAACATCTTAAAAGCATTATTATCAATGGCATTGAAAGGAATACCTGATTGATACATCCATCGGGCACAATACTGATGCACTTGATGAGTTTTTTCCTTGAAGAGTACAGCATTGATGTTTTGTTGTTTTGTTTGTGTACCAAGAAGAACTTCAGGACGTATAGCTGTTGCAAACTTATCCATAAGACCCTGAAAATTACAGGGTTTCAGAGTCCCAAGGTTTTCTTCTAATTCATCATCAAGCTTCTGCCTATCGATATTCACTTCAGCTCTTAACATATCGCCTTCATGTTTCTTGGACAACTTTTTCTTCTTTGCTTCTACGATGGCATCTCTACATTTGATTTGATCTTCTTTCAATGAATTCGGACATGCAGTGACGTTTCCAGGGATATGAGCAATATGCTCTTTAATCCGGTACACTCCTCCACCCATCTCTTTCGAACATAACTTGCATTTAAGTCTATCGGTGTTTTTTGGATCATACAATATTCCATACTCCCATCCGACATCATTAGAGTTTCGCTTAAGTGAAGGTGCGGCTGGGGAAGGAACTTGTTCTGAAGCCATGAAATCTGTAGACATCAAAATCAGATCAGAGACAAAGGTAAGAATGAGCATAAACAGAGTTAAAAGTTTAATTGAAACAGAGAAAAACCGAAACACTAAACAAATTAACAAGATGAACAATGATACACATTGAAAGTTAAATTAAAACCTGTGATTTAGATAGCTTCTTGGGGAGAGTATAACGAGTTGCAGAAAAAGTTAAGCAGAGCAATCGAGCAGATGATACGAAGATTAAACCCTAAGTCACGTTTCATGCTTCTTTTTTCAGAAAACCAAATAACCAACAAATTAATTACAAAATTTAAACCAAATCTTAAACCAAAAATTCACCGATCTGACCGATTTTAGCCGTCTCAACCCGATTTATACTGTATCCGATTTAATACAACGATTATAACAAATTCGTTTCGCTAACATGTATATAAGCGTATAGACGGACGATTATACGGCGAGTTGGCCGAGTTTTTGAACATTGGTAGTGGTCAATGCCAATAAAATATATATTTAAAAAATAAAATAATAACTTGTTTTATTTCCATTCAATAAAAATTTTATTTTTGTATCACATTCAATAAAAATATACTTATGTATCATTATAAAATTTAAAATATTTTTCTAACTTTTTCTGTATTATTTTCAGATATTTCGTATTGCAGAATTGCATTTACGTGGACTTGAAAATTTATCGGATGAAGAAATTACAGAGCTGTCATTGCTGGAAGAAGATGAAATTTTACACACTCACATCACTCCTCTGTTGAAGTATTATGGAAAATTATTTTGCAAAGAACCAATGAATCAAAAAGAGGCAGAGGGTGGCACATTATTCGACAACAAATCTATGAAAATGAGAGTTCATGTTGAATGCTTATACGGATGAGTCCAGAGGCTTTTACACGTCTGTGTAAAATTTTAGAGGAGAGGTATAATCTACAAGACACGCAAAATATGCATGTTGACGAGAAAGTTGCAATATTTCTCATGATCTGTGGGCAAAATGATACTCAAGGCGATATAGGTTTAAGATTTGGCCATGCACAAGAGACAATATGTCGAAAGTTTCATGAAGTCCTTGAAGCAATGGAACGAATGGCTGTAGATTATATACGACCACGAACGGCACAAGAACTTGAAGCTCAATCAAAGCGTCTTGAAGAAGATATACGATATTGGCCATATTTCGATGGATTTATCGGGGCATTAGATGGGACGCATGTACCTGTTATGGTGACTCCAGGACGAGAATCTATTTGATTTTATAATCGAAAAGGAACTCCGAGTCTCAATGTCTTGGCCATGTGCGACCTAGACATGCTTTTCACATATTGTTTCGTTGGTATGGCAGGATCAGCTCATGATGCACGGGTATTATCAACAGCTATTCGAGATGATCCTTTGTTTCCTAAGCCTCCAGAAAATATGTATTATCTTGTGGATTCTGGATACACCAATAGACGTGGATATTTAGCTCCATACCGGAAACAAAGTAGCAGTGGCACACGATATCATCTACAAGAGTTTTTGAATGGTGAACCGCCACAAAATAGTAAGGAAATGTTTAACCGATGGCATGCATCTCTTTGTTCAGTTATAGAACGAACATTTGGTGTTTGGAAGAAAAAATGGAGGGTTTTAAATGAACTTCCAAGATATAATATTGCACTTCAAAGACGAGTCATATTTGCTATAATGGGACTTCATAATTTTATTCGGATGAATAATATTGAAGACGTTGATTTTGAGGAAGCAGATTTAAAAACGGATTTATATGAACGATATAATGTCAATGATGATGCAAATGATGATCAAAATATTGGTGTTGAAGAAGAAGCGGAAGCAGAAACATATATGAGAACTGTTCGTGATGAAATTGCTAAATTTATGTGGCTTAAGAAAAGACGTGGAAGTCATTATCATTAATATTAGATTTTATTAATATTAGATTACTAAGTTTATGTAGCTAAAAAATTATGGATTTTTTTTAATTAATTTTAGTTTTTCACTTTGTTCCTCTAGATAATTACCATTTGTCTTAATAAATTATTCCTCTACCATTGTTCCTCTAATTTATTTTATTTCTCTAACTAACTTCATTCCACTTATTTTTATTCCACCCATCGTTATTCCTACTATTCTATTTTTTCCACTTGTGTACTTCCATTTGCAGCCTTAGTTGTTCATCAGGGCTGGCCCTAGGATAAAGCCCATAAAGTAAGGGCTTTAAGCGCCAAAATTTATTATCTTTATTATGGACATCAAATTTTGTAAGTTTCCTTAGTATAGCAAAAACAAATTTTGGCAGGCTTTAGGTGCCCAATTGGGTCGGCTCTGTTGTTCATCTTGAATCAGTGTCCGACTAAGGATTGAATAATATCTTAGGGACTCAACACAGATCTAGTTTGTCTCCTATGTAATGCGACTTGTGAAAGCAGGGATCAATTGTTATTTGATTGTACTTACAGTTGGTCAATTTGATAGGTTGTAGCAAAAAGATGTAATCTCACTGCCGCTCGATCTTGCAACTGCAGTCTTTGGCAATGGGGAAGCTGTCGAAGATGCTGATAAGCTTGGGTTGGCAAGCTTCAATTTTCTGGATTTGGAATGAGCGGAATTATCATCATCATCAAAACTTTCTCTCTTCAGATGCAATTATCAAACAAATTGATCGACAGGTCAGGAATAGAATAGCAAGTCACAGAGATCGTAATCCAACTCTGTCGTCCAAGCTTCTGCAACTTTGGCTCTCAACGGAAGCACATGCAATGATTATCTAATCTCTCATCTCTTTGATCGACGACTTTTCGTTTCTCTGGTTCTATTGACGACAAGCTTTTTGGCAATGGGCTTAGGCCACATCTTTGGTCAAATTAAGATCTTTTGAATTGTTTCCTGACTGATATATTGGAACTTCTCCGTAAAACATTGGCCTTTGGGCTTGTAATATTTTTATTTTTATGCATTTAATATGAAAGTCCTTTTTATAAAATAAAAGAAGAGTTTAATGTTTTGCATGATAAAATAAAAACACGCACGCAAAACGTGAGTCCAAACAATCTCACGTTCTCATCCTCAATATGAAAATGACGCGTTAACTATTATTTGTTAATAATTACTCCCTCTGTTTCATAATAAGTGTCATTTTAGGAAAATGTATCTGCATCATAACTGGATGTATCTGGATGTGTTTTGAGGTTAATACATCCAGTTATAATGCAGATACATTTTCCCAAAATGACACTTATTATGAAACAGAAGGAGTAGTAAATATTATGAGGGCAATTCCATCGCCTTTTTTCCTTTGTTGTCTCTTTTTTGTCTCTGATAACTCTATTATAAAACCGGGTCCAGATTAATTTTTAGAAAAACATGCAGTCTATACATAAACCCTTTCTCCGAATATTCAAATGGACTGAAAGCAAATGTCTATTTTAATGTGACTAAATGGGAAATGTTTAGCAACATATATTACTCACTCGAATTAAAATCCGTATGGCATATATAACACATGAGATGAATTCGCACACGTTAGACTACATATTTCGGTTTACCACAAATTTGTTTGCAAAAAAGATATGTATAATAATAATAATTAGGTGGTTGGTATGCACATATGTGTGGACATGAAAATTTTAATTAAATTAATTAATAATAATATATATAATTTATAATAAATAAGTGATTAATCTGTTCAATAATATATTTGTATAAAATTTAAGTTTGTGAAAAATGAATTAATAGGTTTGAGAAATTGTATATAGCAAAAAATATATATATATATATATAAAACTTAAAATACTTTAAAAAACTATAAAATAAAATAAAATAATTCTTCGTTATTCTTCGTTATTCTTTGTTTTCTATTTTTATTCATATTTTACATCTTTTTATAGTTTATTTTATCTCATTCTGTCATTTTTCGTCCTGTTTTTGGTTCGTAAGTCTTGCTATATAATTGGAATACATTCACATATAATATAAACTTTTGTTCTTTATTTATAGTAAGACAAGATAAGATGATAATTAAAGTGAATAAATTCTTTTTCTAAAAATCTGATTCCGCAAATTTCTTTTTAACACTTGAGCTTGAAAATATTTTTGCATAAGAGTTATTTAAAATAAGATTCCAAAAATCTCCAACAAAAAAAACGATTTCGCAAATTTTCCGTCAAAAACATGAATAAATAACTTTCGCACCAAAATAACTACATCAAAATATGATCCAAAGACATTTTATCAAACTTTCAATTTTGTAAATTTCCCTCGAAATAGTGAACCCACAAAAAAATTGCCAAAAACTTTACTTTAAAAAGGTGATTCCAAAAACTACCAGTAAAATTTTGATTTCATGAATTTTCCGCCAAATAAGTGAAACCGTAAATTTTCAACCAAAAAATTTACTTAAAATATAATTTCAAAAAACTTCTGTGAATACCTGATTTCAGAAATTTCTGGAAAAACATGAAATTGTAATTTTTCCACCAAAACATTTATTTCAGAGTATTTTCATTTGATTTCATGACTTTTTGCCAAATATTGTGAATCCATTAATTCTATGCCAAAATTATGATATCAAAAAAAAAATTGGCTAAATAGGTTGCTACAAATTTTTCGCTAAATACTTGAAATCCGTAAATTTTCTGACAAAATTTTTCTGTCGAAATGTGATTTTGAATCTTTTTTGACAAAAATATAATTTTCCTAATTTTTGACAAAAAATTGAGTATTTAAACTTATTCTCAAATTTTTGACATCAAATTTTAATTATAAATTAAATAATTTCATGTCACAATTACATCATCATTACACATCATCATTTTTATGTTACATTAAAATTGCTTAAACTACAAATATTAACCAATAAAATTAAAACTAATTAGCAATTTTCATTAAACTACTTTTTCAATTAATAGGCAGAAAATATGCGGTTTTAAACATGCATATAGTGGCGTAGAAATTGCACTAAGACAATGACACATTTTTCTTTTTGTTAAAGATCAACAGTAACACATACTTCCTCCGTTTTTTTAAAGTATGATGTTTTAGGATTTGCACATATTTTAAGATACAATTTTATAATTATTTTTTTCTTTATTTTTTAACTACTTTTTGTTTTTTATTATTATCTTAACACTACTTTTCCTTTTTTAATTGGTAAAATGTTTCTTGTAAAACTAAATAGTAGTATTAAATAAAATCTAGAACATCAAACTTTTAAAAACAAGAAAAAAACCTAAAACATCTTACTTAAAAAAACAGAGGAAGTACTAAATAGTACTTCCTCCATTCCAAAAAGTAAAATGTTTTGGCATGTTCACACAAATTAAGAAATAGTTATGTTTTAGTTATCAATGCATTACTTTTTAATAATGATTACTCTTTAATAAATGTTAATCAATAAAAATTTAAGAATTTAAATAATTTAAATTCCTTTTTTTGAAATTTACAAAAAGATTCATTTAATATTCTAAAACATTATATTTTGTGGAACAAAGAAAAAACTAAAACATCATATAGTTAAGAACGGAGGGAGTATAAACTACATGTCCCGGAGGATTATGTAATTTTTATATTAATTACTCAATCTGTTTCATAATAAGTGTCATTTTGGTAAAATGTATCTGCATTATAACTGGATATATCTGGTTGTGTTTTGAGGTTAATACATCCAGTTATAATGCAGATACATTTTCCTAAAATAACACTTATTATGAAATAGAGAGAGTACATTTTAGATCGCCTATTTTCCTTATTTGCTTCTTTTTTTACAACATCTCATACTTATAAACCATGCTATTGTTATACATCATATTCAAGGTAGATAAACCCAAACCAAACAGTTACGATACGTACGTTGCATCATAAATGCATTAGATTTCGACATTCACATACGTCCAACACGATATCATTAATTCCAAAATGTTTTCTTATAATAAACACTCTCTAATATCATAATAGACACTATTATATATCAAATCTACGACTTAGGTAATAAATATTATAATCATGCACATGAAATACCAACGACTCGACTCGCCGGAAATCTCTCGGACACGGTTTTCCTAGCAAGAGAGTTGATCTCCGGGCCCACTTCCTTCTCCGTTGACTCTGGAATCGTGGTCAACGATCTCGACTTGTCATAAACGACATAGTATCGATCTTTATCCACCTTGTAGACCGGCGAAGAAGGAGTGCTTGAGGATGATGACAAACTTTGGTGATGTTTTGGTCTGAATACTGATTTCAAGAATCTCTGAAGAGAACGAGAGATCTTGTTCGAATGTTTCTTGTTGCCGGAGGAGGAACAAGAAGTCTCCGGTGGAGGAGGAGGATATTCCGGCGATAACGAGTTTAGAGGAGGGAGACGGCGGTCGGGGAGGTGAGACATGGACATGGTTCTGCCGGAGGAAGCAGAGATTGCTGAGTCGAGTTGACGTTTGAACGAGTTGAGTTCGAAGGAGTCGTAGAGAGAGCTCCCACAGTCCCACACTTGTGAACTCGTCTTCTTGCTCTTCATGTTATTACACTCTTCTTCATTTTCGGTGTTTTCTGCGTTCTGGCTCGGATTTTTGTCTGCGAAATTTATGAACTCATAAAACAGCTTATATATATGGCGACACTGACACAAATGTATATATATTGCATAAATGAAACAAAAAGTTGTATATAATAAATTAATGGTCAATTTAGCTAGATGATATATATATCTTCTCACAAGAGTTTTTTTTGTTAAAGATGTATATAGCTTAGCTCGGAATATGAACTAGTCAAACAACAACAAGAGAAAAAGAAGACAATAAGTGGAACAAAAGATCGGCAACTTACCATTTTCCAGCTTCTTCGTCATCTCAAGGGATGATGATAATGAAGATGATGATCTTGAGACACTGTTAGAATCAACTTGTCTTGTTTGAGTTTCATCATCCATGATCTTCGTAGTTTCTCGTTCTTTAGTAGTAATATCTTCCTCTTTCTCTTGACCAATCACCACACACTCTTTCACCTTCTTCATCTCATCTTCCTCTTTACTTGCAATCGTCGACTCTATCACTATGGCTTTTGGTTTGACTTTAACCTCCATGTTTATATTTTCATGCCAAACAGAAGAAAATGAACGCAGATCGATCTACCCCCCAAAATCTTTTTGTTTATAATAACTATTGAAATTGGAAACATGTGAATTTTTAATCGTTCGGTAGTTGTTACGTATTGATAAGAAATGTGTATATATAAATATGGTATATGTAAAGAGAAATTAGTATTTATATAATGAGAGAGAGAGAGAGAGAGAGAGAGAGAGAAGTAGGTGTTAGGTGGTGAATTATGAGCTTCACGGTCTTTATAATTTATTTATGTATATACAGGATCATGATATTGCAATTAATGTTATGAATTAAAGATTATAACAAACAAACAATCAAGAGTTTCTGGTATAAGTTTTGAATTTTTTTGCTATATCTTTTACAGTTTTGCGAATCATAAATAATGTATATAAATTATGATGTGTTCAAGATTCAGATCTATTAATGCTGAAGATCTGCTCAACTGATCGATCTGACCGTAAATTGCATGTCAAAAATTTGACCAGTGTTAAAAAAAAAAGCTCAATGATTTAAAATCATTAGATGATCACGAAAATGAGAAAACGAGATCATATCTTTACGCGTGTCCGAACTTCGTGGAATTTTCACGTGGATCTAATATATAATCGACTGCAATATCATCAAGAACTAGATTATAAATTTTAATTTGTAATTTATATATAATAGTATTATAAAGTGTATAATTTTTTTCTGTTGATAAGTATATAAAAATGTTCTGTCGAGATTTGAAAATATTTAGTTATTTTCTTTTTTCAATTTAAACTTATACAAAGCGAAATGTACATTTATTTTCATCCAAAGTTTCCAAAAATAATATTTTTTTTTGTATAACATTTTTTATAACCTTTATATAACATATAAATTAATATATAAATATATATATATATATTGTATAACATATAAATTAAAAATATTGTAAAACAATAAATACTCGTAGATCTAAAATATAGAAATACTTACCAAGAAAGCCACCTAATTAATTAAATATTTGTTCCTTTTCAAAACAGATTTTGTATAAGATACAAATCACTAATTTTCAAAATATTCTCTTAATTTTGAAATAAATATCCAAGTCTTACACTTATAATGTGATTTTTTATTTAATTAAATTGATATATGTTATGAATTTAACAAATAAAAAATAGTAATCTAAATTATGTAAACTCAACTCTACCGGTTTGGATTTCTGAATCGTTAAGTTCGAAGCTGTTGAAAAAAAAAATAGGTATCTATAAAATATAAAATAAATGTTAGAAGATCTAATTATAAAAGTGTTGCATTTTTTGTTATTTTAGTTTGAGGATAAATCTGTATATAAATATTATTTTTTATTAATTGGGTATATTTTAGATATATACTGATTTTTATTTTAATTTTTTTTATAGGATAAAAATATCAAGTTGTTTGATATTTTAAGAAATATACTTTTTTTTAAAACAAAGACTTCCTTAAATTTTGTGCCATATTTATTTAAATGGAATTGTGTAAATTATATATAAAAAAACTTAAATATTAATTGCAGATTTTAAAAACATTAAATGTAATTAAAAAAAAATTAAAGAAATTTGTATTTGGTTGCAAGAAAGATTGTGATTGATTGTTTTTTAAAACAAAGATTCCCTTAAATTTTTACCATATTTATTTAAATGGAATTGTGTAAATTATATACAAAAAACTTATATATTAATTGCAGATTTTTAAAACATTAAATGCAATTAAAAATAAATAATTAAAGAAATATTTATTTGGTTGTAAGAAAGGTTGTGTTTGGTTATATGAATAAAGTATTTAAATTTTTAATTATTTTTAAGATTTAAAAATTTTAAAACTCTGAGAGAATAACACATAAATCACTAATACTTTATGTTTAATATATTAAATTTCATAGATTAGTGGAATATTATTATTCACTTGGATCTAATATAGAAACAATTTATGAATTTCTTGCTTATTCCATGTTTTTGTGTGTCTTTTTGGTCGTAAAAGTTTATTCTTAATTAGCATAAATTTTCATTGATATCTTATGTTATAACTTATAACAATATATAAAGTCAAAACTAACACGAAAAATGAAACAAAAGAAAACGAGTTGGGTTCTTGTATGTTGACCATTACATCTTACATATATTAAATATATTAAATATTACAGAAACCTTACATATATTAAATATATTAAAGAGCAATTTCCATAATTATACTGAAAATAAGTTTTCAGGATAGATATAACAAGGAAGCTAAAAATTTTCCACCCCTAGCATTTTTCATTTGAGTTTTCCGACTTTACCTTTTAGGAAAGTCTTCCTAAATATATTTTTTTTGTTAATGTTTCGTGATTTTTTTAAGAAGATCTTTCAAGTACTAGAATTTAACATCGTTTCATATGGTTTAGAAAAGTTTTCCTAAATTTTTAAAAATTTCCTAAATTGTGGAAGGGCTTCCTGAATTGTGAAAGAATTTTCTAAATTGTGGAAATGCTTCTTGAATTTGAGTTGTATAAATTAACAAAAATAATAATCAATTATACGATTTATGAAGGCATTCATAAATATTTGTAATGACTTCCTCAATTTATACATTTTAGAAAAGTCTTCCTAAAACTTTAGAATATTTTCCTAAATTTACGATCATCTCCTTCCTCACCTCTGCGACATCCAAGTCCTAATTTCCGCTGATTTGTTTTTTTCACCATTTTTGTTGTTTTAGCTTAGGTTTCTTGAGTTTTTCACTCAATTATATCAGATCTATATATTATTATATGATTTTAAGCTTTAATTCCCAAAATCATTTTCCCATAAAAAAACTTCAAAAATCTAAAAGATTCATAATCACAAATCACAATGAAATGAGAAGAGTGATCCCAAACAAAACAAATGATTTGATTTCAGATCAGTCTTGACCATTGATATATTTGTTTTTATATTATTTTTTTCTCTTTTTATTAACTAATGTTTTGTGTACTAATTATTATGGTAAAAAATGTTATGGAAGGAATTTTTCAGAGTGTTAATATATATATGGAACAAAAACTTAAATTATGTGCATTTGAGGGAATTTCTCAATATTAAATATATTACATCCTTAAATATTTATACAGAGGCTGAGAACGTATATATTCGATATTGTCCCCACATATATTGACTTTTCATTTATGATGAAGATCCTCGAATCACACACATTGATTTTAATATACTGAATGAAATAACCTCACTGTCTATGACTAAAAAGTAAGAAATAAACTGTACATATTTAGATCCTCACTCGTTCCCTACGTGAGAACATGTTCAAGGCAAGTTTCTTAGTATAGTATCTTAACAAAAAAATAATAATAAACTAATAAAAAGTATAAGAGAGAAAGAAGGATTAAATCTTAAATCTATACTATTAAAAAATGATCATATTTTTAAATTAACCTTTAGTTAATGTGTTATTTATAATATATGCTATTAAATTTTTATAGATTCATTCAGAGTAATTTAGTCTTATCATTAAACTGTTAACAAATACATTAAATTAAATTAAATTAGTTTGTTAACAGATAATACCAATAAATAATATCTGATACTAATAAAATTCAAATTAATTTACTTTTAAAATTATTTTAAAATCTTTCATAATATCCTAACATAACTACCACATATATATGGCATGAATAACTAATATAATTATATATATTATATGATAAATTAAATATATATTATATTATAATCAATTTATTCTCTATAATATTAAAAGAAAAGCACTACATTAATTTTTTAAAAAAATTATTATGGTATTTACAAAAATATGACAATTTATAGTCAATGATGAATATATAATCATTATTCTCTGATTACATATATACATACTATGGAAAAAAATTATGTAAATAATTTAGTTTTCTGGTTTGTTAATGTATTTTTTTGCGGGAAATTATGGATTTGCGGATTTGACAAACACAATTTTGTAGATTTTACGGATTTTATAAATTTTAGCGGAAATATAGTTTTCCGAGAAAATGTCGGTTTGACAACAAATGTGTTTTTGTAGATTTAACAGAAACACATAATTTTTGAAATTTGGTCGTAAATCACGATTTTGCAGATTTTACGGGTTTATGGGAAAATACAGTTTTTCAAAATGCGAATAACGCAATTTTACGGATTTTATGGGTTTTACAGGTTTTAACGAGAAAATGCAGGTTTGTGAGTTTGGCAAAAACACACGAATTTAGAAATTTGGTCGTAAAACACAATTTTATGAATTTTATCAAATTATGGAAAAACACGGGTTTTGTGGATTTGGCGGGAAATGTGATTTTGCGGATTTTAAGAGGTTTACATGTTTTTGCGGGTTTTATAGGTTTTAGTGGAAAATATGGTTTTATGAATTTTATTAAAAATGCGGGTTTGCGGGTTTGACGACAAAATGCAATTTTGCAAGTTTGACAAAAACTACTTAATTTTTTGAAATTTAGCCATAGAATACGATTTTATGATGTTGGGAGAAAGCATAATTTTTTATTTTGTTAAAAAATATAGATTTACAGTTTTGGTAGGAAAATACGGTTTAATAGAAAATGCTATTTTTACAGTTTCTACCAGAATATTCGGTTTTAGTACAACAACATGATTTTACGATTTTGCGGAAAAATACGACTTTATTTCGATAAAAAAATGGTTTTGGCAAAAAAAAAACTTGATTTTGTGGTTTAAATTAAATGATATTCATCTGTTAATTTTTGAGATTCAAATGCTGCATCAAATCTCTATTTTTTAGCATTTTAAATATCCAAATTTTTAGATATTATAGAATTTGTATTCAGATAAAATATTCATATACTGATTTAAAAATATTTAAAAGAACAATATTTGAGAGCATTTGCATCCAAATAAGTATCTAGAGGCAAAAACAAACAAAACCTAAGAATCTTAATTACAAACAAATAAAATCTCTCTTGCATTATAAAACATAATATTTTAAAATATTTTTTACAAAATTTAACAAAAATCTGCTAATCAAAATATGTTTTTTATAAAATCAAGCTTAAATAATTTTAAGAACATAAAACCATAATGTTAAAATAATTTATATAATCTAATAAAAAAATTCCGTTGGCGCCACAATTTTAGATTTAATAATATAAGTTAATTTTTCTTTTGAACAAAAGTTTACTATAAACCGATTTTTGCTATGATCCAAAATTATTTTATAAAAAGAAATCCGTG